CATCACCACCATCACAGCCATCACCATCACCACTATCACCATCATTACCACCATCCCTGTTGTCACCACCATCACAACCGTCACCATCACCGCTGCCTTAGTCAATGTTCTATTGCTGTGAAGAGACACCACGACCAAGGCAACTGTTATAAAGAAAAATATCTAATTGGGGCTGGCTTACAGTTTCAGAGGGTGGACTCCATTACCATCATGGCGGGGAGCATGGTGGTATGCAGGCAGGTGCTGGGGCAGTAGCTGAGAGCGACATCCTGATCCACAGAGAAAGAGAGAGACTCTGGGCTTGACATGGGCTTTGAACCCTCAAAGAACAACCCCAGTGACATACTTCCTCCAACAGGGCCACACCTCCTAATTCTTCTAATTCCTTCAATTAGTGCCACTCCCTGGTGACCAAATCTGTGAGCCTATGGAGCCCTTCTCACTCAAATCACAATGACTTTCATGACCATCGTCACCGTCACCACCATTGTCACTACTACCTTCTCTTCTGCCATTAGCATCATCAGCATCACCATTATCTTCACCATCATCACCACTATCACCGACATCATTACCTTTACCAAACCCTCATCATCACCACTGTGGTGGTTTGAATAGCAGTGGCCCCCATAGGCTTGTATGTGTGAAGATTTGGTTCCAGGAGGGATTAAGAGCCATGGCCTTGTTAGAGGTGTGTCATGGCAGGCTTTGAGGTTTTAAAAATCTCTTATCATCCCCGGTGTGTTCTCTTTGCCTCCTGCTTGTGATTTGAGATGTGAGTTCTGACATCATGGTAGCTGTTCCTTCCACAATGCCTTCGCTCTGCCATCATGGACTCTAGCCCTCTGACACCAGAAGCTCAGCCAAATGCTTTCTTTATAAGCTGCCTTGGTCGTGATGCTTTACCAGAGCAATAGAAAAGTAATTAATACAACCACCGCTGTTGTTTTTAACAAAATCTCGATCATTTGATTTTATCAATAAAGACTTGGGAGTCAGATGTTGGGGTGAAGGCCTGCTAGCTCAGAGGGGGCAGAGAGAGGACCCAACTGACTTTCCTCCTTAGTCAGCACCCCAGAAAACTCCTTCCTCCTCTTTGTCTCCAACACTTCTCTTTAAACTTTATGTCTCTCCCTTCTACTTCCTATGTGCCTATCTGTCCTTCTGGCTCCTTCTTACTCTCTATGGTCACTTTCTGTCAACCGGCTACCTGCTCCACCTCTTGACCTATAGTTGACTTTATCCAATCTTGTTTACAATATTCAATCAGAAAGCTCTTGGATTAAAGGTATGTGCTAGGGCTGAGCCACACCACAAATAGAAACAGTTTTTCTAGTTAGTACTGCAATCTTGGGGTTCACAGTGTGATCAAATATCCTGCAACACATCACTACCTTCACCACCGCCATCACCTTCACTACCGCCATCACCTTCACCACCACATCACCTTCACCATCACAACCATCACCTTCACCATCACCACCATCACCTTCACCACCACCATCACCTTCACCACCACCATCACCTT